TTTAAACCACGATTTCATTAGTGGAGCATGAATTCTGGCTTATTTAAACCATGATTTCATTAGTGGAGCATGAATTCTGGCTTATTTAAACCATGATTTCATTAGTGGATCATGAATTCTGGCTTGTTTAAATCATGGCTTGTTACAGCCAAACCCAGAATCGTGACTTCTCTCACTGCCTGCCCTAAAACAGGAGTTGATGAAAGAAATGGGAGAAAAGCAGCCTGGCAGTAGAGAAAATAAACTGTGTTTTTTTTTGTCACCTGCAGAATAGCAGGTGGCTACAGTGGATTGTAGTTGTTATGTGCCATCAGCACATAACAGACATAACAGTCTTTGACTTATGGTGACCCCATGGATGAGAAATCTCCAAAAGGTCCCGTCCTTCAACAGCCCTGCTCATCTCTTGCAACCCAAGCTCGTGGCTTCTTTTAGGGAGTGAGTCCATCTCACATTTGGGCTTCCTCTTTTCCTGCTGCCTTCCACTTTTCCCAGCATGATTGTCTGTCTCCCTCGCCCCTCTTACCTGCCTTCTCAGGATGTGCCCAAAGTCGGATAGCTTCAACATTTTTGTCTCCAGGGTGAGTTCAAGGTTGATGTGATCTTGGACCCACTTGCTTTTCTTTCTGTCCATCGTTTCCACAAAGCTCTCCTCCAGCACCATTTCCCCCCCCCCCAAACAAATCATTTTTGTCCCTGTCTGCTTCCTTGACTGCCCAACTTTCACACCCGTACATGGTGCTGCAGCAACACGGGGTGGCTATTAGAAAATATAGCTTAGCATGAACTGCCATCACGACCTTTGGTGGATCAGCACCTTTTTATAGCTACAGTGTGGCATTCTTCGTGAGGAATTGAGGAAGGGGATGCACTTTTGTAACATCTGAATGAATTAAGTCCGGATTCCTTGTGGTGTTTTAGTGAAGATCTGGTAAGTGCTCGTTTATGGGCCACTGGGCCGAATATGTGATGGCTTGTCTTTGCTTCTTTATTTTTTCCACCCAGAAAAGCGAGTCAGCCTTCTTGTCTTGCTCTAGCCTCCAAGGTTTGAGATGATCTTGCGTGTCGGGCTGTGCCCGGGCCTCACAGAGGAGATGGTGGCCCTCCTGAAGACTCACGGCGTCAAGACAGGTAAAGTCTGCCAACTCCTCTAGGTTGGGTGGTGGTGGAGGAGGAGCGACATTGTGCAGGGTCCTAGGGTGAATGTTGATCCTTTCCAAGCGTGGCAGACCGAGAGAGCCTTAAAATAAGGGAATGGCTGCTCTGTAGAGATGGGGCTTTGGAAACGATCTGTAAGGTCACCCAAGATCCACATAATTCTTTCTCTGTGACACTATCTGTGAAGGTGGTTCTCAACACACACACACACACACGCACGCACGCACGCACGCGCACGCACGCGCGCGCGCGAAGGTGGCTGGCTGCTCGCTGGCCTGCAGCAGAGTTTAGAAAAGTTACTTTTGTGTCTTGAAACTGAGCGACCCAACTTGAAGTCGGGAGGGAGTTGATGGCAAATTATTTTATCACACACATTTTCTTATTTTATGCTTTTCTGATGGTTTATATGCACTTAGAGGCCAACTACTATTTTTAAGACCTGTTTCATCTGTGCTCTTGTGTATAGCCTTATTGCCTATAAAGCAATAAAGTACAGTAGGACCCCCATATCTGCGAGAACAACAATATCCACCAATTCACTTATCTACGGTCTGAAAATATTAAAAATATTACAAGAAAAATCCTAGAAATATATCTCTAAAAGATGAAGTTACCAGAACTGGCCACTGGAGGGAGCCATGCTATTAAAATTGCATTCACCGTAACCCACATTTTTCAGCATCTGCTGGTGGTGCTTGGAACCGATCCCCAGGAAAATTGGTAATTTTGACGGCAGGCTACCATTTATTGCTTGTATTGAGGCACAGGTTGCATTCCTGGGCATGTGCTCGGTCGATCCGTGCGCATAACCAAGAATACAACCGGCACCTCATTAATAAATGGACACTTGCCATCAATATGTGTGCGATTTCCTTTCTCCAACCATAAATCTGCACTTGGAGTCTGATAAAAAGCATCTTTAATAGACTCAAGAGGGCAGGGGTGGATTGGAAAGAACACGTTTTTTTTTAACCATAGCAGGGGAATTCTCTATTTGAGATTCTAGTGAGACATGCAGGTATGTGAATGCTGGCTGGTAAATAAATATTTTGTCTCAAATATTTTGTTAGTGGTGGATTTTGTCTCCTCTGATGTAGAAGAACTTGCTCAGAAGTGCTCCTTATCTTACAAGGTGAGTTTTTGATTCCTTCTGGTGATCAATACTGAATGTTCCTCTTGGTTCCATTCCCCCCTCCACTATACTGTGCATTAATTTATTTATTTTTTAAAAAAATGTTCCTAAAGAGTAATCTCTTATGAAGGGAGGCAGAGAGCATGCCTAGAGACAGATTTCATGTGGCTTTGCTTTTCTGCGCGACAAAACAGGTGATAAACAATCCACGTCTCTCTTGGTGATCCCCAGCTGAATCAGAGCGAAGCTAAAGCTGCTCCCTTGAGATTTTGTTATCACTGCTTGTCTTTTCTGAACCTGCCATCTTTTTGAGAACGGGAGCAGGGATTTGGGCTGGGTTAAGAAGTTGCGGTGACGTTAAGCAACTAAATGGGACCCTCTCCTAGCCCAAACGATCTTGCTCTTCTTAAGGATAGTTTGGGCTTGATTTGATCTGTCTTTGCGAAGCTAAAGCTGCTCCCTTGAGATTTTGTTATCACTGCTTGTCTTTTCTGAACCTGCCATCTTTTTGAGAACGGGAGCAGGGATTTGGGCTGGGTTAAGAAGTTGCGGTGACGTTAAGCAACTAAATGGGACCCTCTCCTAGCCCAAACGATCTTGCTCTTCTTAAGGATAGTTTGGCCTTGATTTGATCTGGCTTTCTTCATTATCCAGCTTTCACATCTGCACATAATAACTGAAAATACAACTGCGTTGTATACAGTTGATTTTGGTGTATTGCACTGCGTTGTAAGTTGTTATAAACCATCAAATCATCCCTATGAACAAACAATCTCCAGAATGTCCTGTCTTCAGCAGCCTTGCAAACTCAACCCTGTGGCTTCCTTGAGGGAGTCCGTCCATCTCGTATTTAACCTTCCTCTTTTCCTGTTGCCTTCCGCCTTTCCCAGCACGACGGTCTTTTCCAGAGAACCCTGCCTTCTCAAGATGTGCTCAAACAATCTTGTGTTATTTTAAACGTGAACAAGGTCTCTTTATATCTATTTTTGGAACAAGCCTTCGTGGGCGATAGGTATTGTTTTAAAAGCCCGTGAGCTGTGTTCGTGAAACCGTAGACCAAATAAAACATTTCAGGTGTATCAGGGCTGTTGTTTGTCCCACCCCACCCCCCACCAGCTTAACACGGCTTCCCGCCGGTCCATCCACCACTGAAACTCTTCTAGAGTAGCTGTCCCGGGAGCATCTCTTTTTACCAAGAGCATCATGAAGCTTGGGAAGGGTGCTAGAACCTTGTAGGGCACAGAAATGAACATTTCCCAGCCAGGTTTGCTTCTCTTGGAGAGCAGCCATCCAAGGGCTGTGTGGACGAGTGGGTAGAGATGGGCCGTGGGGGGGAGATCCTCTTGGCCTCCCCCCCCCCCCCACGGAGGGCTGGGCTGAATCTGTCCCACGTTTAGGATGTGTTTTCTTCCTCTGCTCTTGTTGCAGGGTTTGGTGGCGGTCAGGCGAGTGTTGCTGGCCCAGTTCTCCTCTTTTCCAGTCAACGGGGCCGATCTCTACGAAGAGCTCAAGAGCTCCGTGGCCATCCTGTCTACGGGGGTCTCGAGGTAAGGGGCTACAGTCCCAAAGCAGGTCTTACGGGGTGGGGTGTCTTCCAACTTAAAATGGTGCTTTGGTTACCAGTTTCAGGATGAAACAGGGAAGGCTTGTAACTAAAGCAATGGTGGGCCTTCAAGATGTTCGATCCTCAGCCCCCAGGGAGCAAGGGTGCTGTTTGGCTTGCTGTTTTCTTTCTCTCTCCCCCCCCCCCCCCTCCACTCATCAAGGCTAGCCTTGAGAAGGCGTGCAAGCTGTTGACTAGATCACTGGTTCTTAACCTTGGGTTACTCAGGAGTTTTGAACTGCAACTCCAAGAAGCCTTCACCACCAGCTGTCCTGACTGGGGTTTCTGGGAGTTGCAGTTCAAAAGCATCCGAGTAACAAAGGTTAAGAACCACTGGACTAGATCATCAGAGGTGTCTCACCCCTCTAGCAAACGGCTGTGATTCATTCTAGCTTCCTGTTTGTTGCTTCTTTTAATTCGGGATTGATGAAGGTTGGTGGAGCCAGGGGCCTGGGTTCTGCCCCTCCCCAGACTGTTGTGCGGGGAAAAATGGCAAAAAAAATATTGCATTTGGTACAGGGCACACACACACACACACACACCCGTCAGTGAACCCAGAAGCGGCTGGATGTGGGCTTCCAGTTTTGGAAAAGGCATGTCTTGGGGGGGGGGGTATGAAACAGGTCACATGCCAGTGAAATTTATTTAAAAGATGAATCGCTGTGCTTGGGGGTTTGGAGAAGCTGCAGTTTCACTTCTTGAGCGTTCGGGATGTTGACAAGGGGGATTAAAACGCAGTTATGATGACAAAGGTGAGCAGTGAGAAGTCAGAGGAGCCCAGGCATGCTGAGACTTTCTGAGCAGCAGGGTGGATGGCCCCCACCCCATGTTTTTGCAGACTTCACTATAAACCACACAGCAGCCAGAAGAGAAGTGACTGGTGGTCTGAGAGGGGCTGTGCTCAGTTGTTTTAAATGTGTTTTAAACATTGATTTTATTTGCCATTTTAATAGAATGTTGAATTCTTTCAAAACATTTGTGTACTTAGCGTTTTTGGCTTTTCAATACTGTTTTTAATGATGTAAGCCAGAGTGGGTCCTTTTGGAGAGAAAGGCGGGATAGAAGTGATTTAAGGAAATAAATTGTACTTAGCGTTTTTGGCTTTTCAATACTACTGTTTTTAATGATGTAAGCTGGCGTGGGTCCTTTTGGAGAGAAAGGTGGGATAGAAATGATTTAAGGAAATAAATCATAAGCAAGTGAGTTTCCTCCAGAACAGGGTATTGCTTGCAAACCGAGACGGCTTTCAGACAAAGTATGGGTGAGGGGTTTGCTCCTGGGTGGGCAGTGAAGAGCCATGAGCCTTGCAAAAGACCTGCTCCTAAATAACGGATATGGCCCTATTCAGCAGCTGGCATAATTGGATTCTTCTTCCAAATGTGTGTGTGGCTACAGGGAATGTCACCATGAGCCCTTGGCGCTTCTGAATTGACCCTTACATCATTCTTGAGACGACGAGAATAAACGTGTCCTGAAATTTCCTTTTCTCCCCACTGGGGATCTGTTTCAGCTTAGACAAGCTGCTAGACTCCGGCTTGTATACTGGGGAATTGACCGAGTTCGTGGGAGCACCTGGCAGTGGGAAAACTCAGGTAGGTCTCTCTGAGATCTGGGGTAAGATGTCCAACAGCCAGGGGCGGCTGGTCTCTAAGGGGTGATGGGGTCACCACCCCCACACCTTCTGCTCAGGCGAACCCTAGGCAGGCCTCACGGGCTCCATCCCTATCAAAAGTGTCAAGACCTTGCGTGTGTTCTGTTTCTCCTGTACATATCGGTGAACGTCTTCTTGCTTGCTGCCATGTCTGTATGAAGCTGAAATCAGTGGCTCTCCTCCTCCCCAGAGAGCAGGGGATATGTCCTGGGCTTAGTGTTGATTCATATTATTTCTTTATTTAACTTATTTTTTTTACCCTGCCTTTGTGCTTAAAAAAGGACCCAAGGCGGCTTACAGCATGGAAAGAACAGTAAGTAGACAAATATTTTAAAAGGATCAAATACCACAATAAAAACAATAAATAAGGTGCTTATATTTCACAGGTAACTTGGATGAGGGCATGGATGGGGTGCTTATCAGATTTGCTGAGGACCTCACATTGAGAGGGGTAGTTAATTCCTTGAGAAGGGAGAATCAGGATTCAAAATGACCTTAATCAATAAATATGTGCCATTGAGTCAATGCTGATTTATGGTGACATTTTTCAGGGTTCTCCCTGAAAAGAATACTCAGAATTGGTTTGCTGGGTCCTTTTTTTCCAGGGGAGCCCGGAGATTGTGCAGTTTGCCCAAGGCCACCCAGTCTGGCCTTTTTTTTTTGTTGGGCGCCTAAGTAGAGAATTAAATTCCAAACCTATGGCTCTAGCTGCCAAATCCTTAAACCACAGAGCTCTCCAGCCAGCTCAAAAGGACTGCAACAGATTAGAAAATTGGGCCAACAAAAAAAATCCAAACAATAATGCTTATTACAGACTAAATTCTAACATGCACCCCATACCCACGGGACCCCATTTAACAATATTTTTATTACAAACTACCTTCTCAAAATTGTATAGAGTATTCTTTAAAGGCTTTCCCCCTTCCTTTCACTAATGCAAATTCCACAGATTTACCCCAAATATCATAAAAATTGTTAGAACTTTTCCCCCTCTTTTTATTTTGAGTTCAATAAGTCAATTTATCATTTAATGCAATGTCCCATACTTCATTATACCAATCTACTAATTTAATATCATTTTTGTCTTTCTAAAACCTAGCTATTAATATTCTAGCACTTGTCATAAAATTAGTGTTCAGTTCTTTCGAGTAATAATCCAAATCTGTTATCAAAAATAGATTTTAGCATTAAAATCAATATCTTTACCAAATATATCACACATTTCCTTAAAAATCAATTCCCAAAATTTCTTAACCAGTTTGCATTCCCACCACATATGAATGGATAAAAGGATCTAGAAGTCCCAGTAGATGACAAGATGAACAAAAGCCAGCAGGGTGATGCGGCAGCAAAAAACCTGAATGCAATTCTATGCTGATTTGATAGAAACCGTTTTGGAAATGTCTCTCTCTCTCTCTCACACACACACACACAAGTTCTCTCCTTTCTGTTCTATTGTTATATTTCCAGGTTTGCCTCAACATAGCAGCCCACATAACACACAGTCTCCAGCAAGATGTCCTGTATGTTGACTCCACCGGTGGCTTCACGGCCACCCGCTTGCTACAGTTGCTTCAGGGCAGGACTGAGAATGAGGAAGAGCAGGTGTAGATGTTTTACTTTTTTTTTAATGTTAAATGTATTTTTCTTGGAAGCCTCCCCCAAAGCAGAAATTGATGGGTTTCAATCATGCAAGAGGACCCTGTATCTGCGAGGAACCAGTTTGAAGCTTGCCACCTTGATGGATGCTGAAAAATGAGTATTATAGCAAACACTAAGATAATCATGATGAGTGCTGTACATAGCATGGTCTCTGGCTCCCTCTAGTGGCCAGCTCTATTAATGAGACTTGAATTTAGGAGAATTTTAGGGGTTTTTAGTTCCCACAGGTGACTTTGGGCCAGTCATGCTCATTTCTTGTGCTTCTCAGGGGTGTGGAACTTAACTTAGATTCCTGCATAGAACAGGGGGCTGAATGACATGGCCTTATAGGCCCCTTTGCCATTATTCTACAATTCTAGGCATTATTATAGTAGGAGCCCCTTATCTGCAGGATCGGTATCTGCTGATTCACTTATCCACAGTCTGGAAAAAAAAATTAAAAAATTAAAAGGAAAAATCCTAGAAATACATATTTCTAAAGATGAATTTACCAGAACTGGCCACTAGAGGGAGCCAGAGACCATGCTATGTGTAGTACTGCATTCACTATTAAAATACTATAATCCTCGTTTTTCAGCATCTGTGGGGAGGTTGGAACTGATCCCCTGCGGATATTGGGGTGTGTGTGTTCCTACCGTACATTGATTCCACCAGTCTACCTTCTAGGGTTGTTAGCACTGAAACAAAAATAATACAGTATTGATGAAACAATGAGAAGTTTTGGGCGTTCTCAAAAGTCAACTTTCGAAAGTATTTTTCTGTACACATTAGAACAAGGACTTGGGCGTCTCTGCCTTACCTGGCTTTTCCACTCCTGACACTGCAGGCAGAAGCGCTACGGCGGATTCAGGTGGTCCATGTGTTCGATGCATACAAAATGCTAGATGTATTCCAGGAGTTTCGAAGCAACGTAGCCCAGCAGGTGAGGAAGGGCTTCTCAAATCATACCCGCTCGCCAGAGATCAAGAAAGCCAGCGTGATGTAGGGGTTGGGGAGATTGTGCTTCAGGCTTGGATTGAAGCCCCGGGAGATCCAGATTCAAATTCCCAGGGTGCCATGAAACTGACCAGGTGACCTCACCAGGTTATCTTGAGGGCTGAAATGGGATGGAGAAAAGCCATGTAATTTCATGAGCCTTCAGCTCATGGGAAGATATGAAGACAGTCAATCTCTTTTTTTGAAGCCGTATTAGTTCTAATCTTTGTCCTGGAATGCTTTTCTCTATAACCCTAGCTTTGTTTCTTAGCGGTGAAGGAACAGCACTCGGTACATGCTCAACCACACTCTTTTCTGTTGCAGCCGTGCATCCCTTAGAATCTGACCTAAGAAACAGATTCCAGAGCTGGATCCACTTGCCACAACTTTCTCCCGTTCTGTTTCTCTCCATTTTCTGTCTTTTGGGGCCATTTAAAGATTTCCTTAAAGGAAACGGGGGGGGGGACCCAAAATAATTGAGCACTAAAACTACGTATGTGCTTTAAGTCTCATCAGATGGTAAGATTTTCCAGCTATTGTGGCAGATCCAGATGCTTTCATCAAAACAACAGAACTGACCACCTTTTAATTATTTTTGAATATTTTCATCTCACCTTTCTCCTTAAAAAGAACGCTTAAAGACATCTGTAGTGCCTCTTTTATGATCTTAAAATGTTTTAAACTGAATTCCATCTTTAAATCTCTCTTTTTATGCTCTGTTTTTGTCACTGACTGCATTTTTATTTGCTTAACCTTTTTAATCTCATTGGGAGCCACCTTGAGTCCCAGTTCTAGAAATAAAGGTGGACTATCCATGAATCTAACAATGAGTTAAAGAAATAAACAATGTTTTCCCGGTGTTAAATTCAGATTTTTGCCACTGGGGTTTCAAACTGCATGTAGTGCCAAGTACAGCTAAGTTGTTTTTTTTGGGGGGGGGATATGCCTCCTGTAGCCCCCCCCCGATGTTGCCAATGAGATTCCATTTAGGGCACATCTGTCTCTTTTAAATTTAATTTTGCTTTATCTTCTTTAACTCCCCCCCCCCCCAGATCATGAATGCATCAACGCCAGCCAAGGTTCTGGTGGTTGACTCTATTTCTGCAGTCGTTTATCCTCTCTTGGGAAGCCGGCAGCCGGAGGGTAAGGAGCACCTGACCCGTCTTTACCAGAGGTCTTGGATGATGGGATCTGTAGTCCAAACCCTTGGAGAGTGCTGTGCCAGAGACAGCTGATCTCACATTTCAAGAGGGGGAGGCAGGAAATGTGGATTAAAAGAGAGAGGGAAAGGTGACCCACGGATCCCAGTGGCTCTCCTGTGCCCCACTATATCTTCACAACATCCTGGTGAGGTAGGACAGGCTGCAAGAGAACGTTAAAGGTCACTCAGTGAATTGAGTTTAAACCCAAATGTGTGCAGCTCTAGTCAAATATTCAACCGTGTGGCCGAGGGACTGTATGCAGCCCCCCCGTTGTCTCAAAATGCAGGCCCCGCCTCCAATTAATTATGCTTTTAAATAGAGGCTTTAATGACATGGTAGGCAATTTTTTTAAAGGCCACCCAACATTTTTGCTGTCAAAAAGGTTTTTTAAAAAATACTCTTTTTGGCCACTAGATGGGGTAAGAGGGCTTTTTTTTCAGGAAAAAAATATTTTTGTAAGATTTTTAAGGGGTTGTGGGTTGTGTAGGAGTGGCGTGGGCTCTCCTCAGGCAATTTTTTTAAAGGCCACCCAACATTTTTGCTGTCAAAAAGGTTTTTTAAAAAATACTCTTTTTGGCCACTAGATGGGGTAAGAGGGCTTTTTTTTCAGGAAAAAAATATTTTTGTAAGATTTTTAAGGGGTTGTGGGTTGTGTAGCAGTGGCGTGGGCTCTCCTCAGGTCCAGAGATGGGTGTGTGTGCCCCCCCCCCATTCTAACAACTGGCAAGGGGCTGTGTAGGTGACATGCAATGTGAGCTAATCACAAAACTTGGATTATTACTCTAACTTCTCTCTCTCCTTCCTCCACCCACTCCCCAAACCTAGGCATGGCCCTCATGATGCATTTGGCTTTAGACCTTAAAATGCTGGCCAAAGATTTTGGAATGGCAGTTGTGGTAAGTGTCAGAGAGCTATCACTGCATTATGTTTACCTTTGGCCTAGCTGTAGGGAATGGAGTTGTAAGGAAGAGGAGGGTGTGTGTCTTCCCTGGTTGTGCAGTCGTGGAGGCGGATGGCTCCAGTGTTAGCGGGGCTGTGGATCCACTCCAGGTTTTAGTTTGGTTTTCAGATGAGCTCTTCAGGTTGCTGAACACTGTTCCCCCCCCCCACAGTTTCAGCACCTTGGAGAGCTTTTTTAAAAAATGTTTCAGCTAGAAATGGGCGTGAACCGCCTTTCAGGAGTTCTCCCTGGTTGTGCAGTCGTGGAGGCGGATGGCTCCAGTGTTAGCGGGGCTGTGGATCCACTCCAGGTTTTAGTTTGGTTTTCAGATGAGCTCTTCAGGTTGCTGAACACTGTTCCCCCCCCCCACAGTTTCAGCACCTTGGAGAGCTTTTTTAAAAAATGTTTCAGCTAGAAATGGGCGTGAACCGCCTTTCAGGAGTTCCCCGCCCCGCTTCAGGTTGCTGAACACTGTTCCCCCCCCACAGATTCAGCACCTTGGAGAGCTTTTTTTTAAATGTTTCAGCTAAAAATGGGTGCAAACCACCTTTCAGGAGTTCCCCGCCCCGCCTCCTCTGGCAGGCACCCAGTCAGAGGCATTGCCTGAGGAGGCGGGGCAGGGAATCCAGGGCGCTGCCTCTGAGTGGGTGCCTGCTGGAGGAGGCAGAGCTGGGGACCACCAACCATCCAAAGATTCATCTGAAGGTTCATGACGGTATCTAGTTTCAGCTAAAATCTGGAGTGGATTCGTCACCACACTGACATAGGAGCTGCTGGTCTCTGTGTCAGAGGGGGCAGCTTGTACTGTACTTGCCCAGATGTTCATGGATTGCAACTCCCATCAGCCCCTACCATGGGATCTGTTGGTTGGGGGGGCTAAGGGTTTCAGCCACGCAGCGGCCAACCTGCTCCATGAAACCAGAGGATTTCTCATTTCTTGTTTATTTCCGAGTCCCTTTTTGTCCAGGGAGCTCTGGTGGCTTCCATCCTCCCCTTTTTCCTCACAACAGCCCTGCAAAGGAGGTCAGGCCGAGAGACCGTTCATCCTGAGGGTTGGACCATCCCAGGCAGCCACCTGAAAGGGGGGGGGTCACTCAAACTTGCCCGCTCTGCTTTTAGCTGACAAACTACGTGACCAGAGACGCCAGCGATGGCCTCCTTAAGCCGGCCTTGGGGCGCTCCTGGAGTTTTGTGCCCAGCACCCGAATTTTGCTGGAGGGCAGCAAGGATTCTGCTGGAAAAGCCACCACCTTCCGAAAAGCCTATTTGATGAAAAGCCCCCGGCAGGTAAGAACGGGTGGCCATTTTTGGTGCCCCTGCGTAGATCTAAGTGCAATCCGGGCAACATGGAGGCAATTTGGTTAAAACATTGTGTAGCTCATGAGTTATGGGTGGCCTAAAAATTATGGTGGTGATTTCATGTGCCTGTAAGGCTGATCGAGGTTTCTTACCGAGTGCACAGCCAGACTTGCGACTCGGCATCTGATAGGTCAAGATGAGATTTTCATGTCTCTTGGACTACAGTTCCCGTAATTCCCCATTATGGGATGTCTACCTGACAGACACCTAAATATGGCTCACTGGGGAGAAAAGGTAGCTGCTTTTAACCTGCGTTAAAAACAGATGCTGCTAAGAAGACAATTACCATGTTAAAACTGAGCATTAAAATTAAGCCCTTTAGAAGCACGGGAAGAGAAAGAGAAAATGTAGACACTCATACCCCAAAATATTAAAAAAGACCTTTTGCCCAATAGATATTCAGGGCCCAAAAGCCAGCCAGACTCAGTGAAAACGTTTTGTTTGCTGATGGAAAGGAACCAGCTGTGGTGGAAGGGAGTTCCACAACCTTACCTGTAAGGTTGGCAGGACAAGGGGATTTTTCTCCCTGACAATCTCAAGGGCTGCGTCATAGACAGTCCTTCTAGCTTGCAGGGCAGTTTATGGGGTGCAGGAGAGAGACCTGTTTTGTTCCTCAATAAAGGAAAATGGGTGGGGACCTGAAAGTGCTGCCCCATTGGGGCTGGCGCCATCGTTGTCACCCACAGCTTGTTACCTAAGGTGGCTACTTCGCTCTCCCTTATGATAGGACCGGCCCTGGCAGAAACAAGCAACCTCCTCACAGCCTTCTGCCTTTGCCTTTTACAGCCTGCTGGGATTCAGGTGGTGTTGAATCTCGAAATGTGGGACCAGACAGAAGACACTCTGTTCATTTCCTGTGAGGGGCCATAACAGAAGATGCTGGTGGGTGTAGCTGGCTATGCAGCAGGTTGCCAATACTGAAGTGGAAAGACTGTCGGACTTTTGGGAAAAAGAGGGAAACTGGGACTGGTGGATTCCAATCTGGTGATCCTCTCTGGAAGAGCGGCAGCTGGCCTCTTGTTCAAGTCAAAAACACAGGTTGTTGATAAATTAAAACATGAGAAACATGTCTGTGTATTTATGTCACCAGAAAATATGTACAGTGGTGCCTCACTTAGCAATCGCTCCGTTGAACGATGAAATCGCTTAGCAACGGAGTTTTTGCGATCGTAGAAGCGATCGCTTTGCAATAGTCCCTCTGTGTATTTTCCGCTTTGCAATGATCGCGGGGAAGCGATCATGGCAAAGCAACCCTTTTTTAACAGCTGATCAGCGCTTTCAGAATGGCCACTGGGAAAACAAAATGGCCGCCTGCTGTGTTTCCTCGCTTTAGAGGCACCGAAAATGGACGCCCTTATGGAGGATCTTCGCTTAAAGGTTAGTTTTTAGCCCATAGGAACGCATTAATCGCGTTTTAATGCATTTCTATGGGCTTTTTAATATCGCTTAGCGATGAAATCGCTTAGCAACGTTTTTTCCGGAACGGATTAACATCGCTAAGCGAGGCACCACTGTATTTGTTTACAGATCCACCAAATGAGAAGCCAGAGGATGTGCTGGGTATTTAATTATCATTTTGTGCCCAAATCTAACTTTCACATGCTGGACGAGCTCGCCAGATGGAGCGGAAGAAATCAAAGTTATTAGATTTCTCAACATCGGGAAAGATTTTATGTTTTCCCTTTCTGTGTGGCCGAGGTATAAAATCCAAGTTTCTTTTGGAAGGGGATCTCTAGATTGCCATCTGGGGACCCCTGTTTGAGAACCACTGGTGAGGGCAGACAGGAAAAATTACATTTTGTAGATTACAATTTCTGGATTCTGTTATCCAGCATGATGACCATGCAGGCTGGCTAGCAGATATTCCAGGTGAATAAGCAAAGACCAAGAAATCATGAAACACCTAATGTGTAGAAAGCTGGAATATTCCCACTTCAAAGTGTTAATGCTTACATATAAAGCCCTAAACGGTTTAGGACCTCGATACTTGGCGGAATGCTTACTCCCAACTCATCCGCGCTAGCCAGGAGATGAGGCTGAGGAGCCTGACGCCAAGGGAGGCCCGGAAGGAAAGAACTAGAAACCGGGCCTTCTCGGCGGTGGCTCCTTGCCTCTGGAATAACCTACCTCTGGAGATTCGCGCTGCACCCTCGCTGGGTACTTTTAAGAACCAACTAAAAACGTGGATGTATAGGCAGGCCTTCCCTTCCAGTTAATTCCTGTCCTCTTTCCTTTTTTTTCTCTTTATTTGATTTATTTTGTATTTTTCCCATTGCAAAATCATTTAATTAATTAATTGTTATAAATTTTTCTTGAACTTGTTATGTTTTATGTTGTAAGCCACCTAGAGTGGTCGAAATGACTAGATAGGCGGGGTATAAATACAATTAATAACAACAACAACAACAACAACAACAACAACAACAACAACAATAATAAGCAATGGGCTGACAGTGAAAGGTAAGACAAACAGGGAGAGATGAACTTTTTGAGATGGAATATTTTCGAGGACGTTTTGGAAGCAGCCACAGTATTGTTTAATCCTGCTGGCTGAGGAGTTGGAATAGCCATGAGGATGCCTGATTTCCAGCACAATAGGAATGAAAAGAAGAAAAACAGAAATCTTACGTTAAATAAATACTGGCCAGGGCTTCCTGTGAGTTTCCCCTGATTACAAATCTGCGTCCTTTCGCGTACGAACGAAGCCATAGTCTAGGAGGAGGAGAAGGGAAATGAAGAAGTAAGCTTTTAATGATTTCTTTCATTTTTACATGGCCACCATTATGACAACCATCTTTGCAAAACTGTTTGCTGAAATAGAGGACTGTGTGGATACACACCAGATATGTGGACCCAGTGCTACTGTCTTTACATGAAACCTAAATTGTCTTTACTACTTGTTCCTTAGTTCCGACTCCACCCTCCATATTATTATGTAATCCCTTCACAATTATTTACAGCTCCCTTTCCATGATAGATATAATTTCCTTTTGGAGTTTACATGAGTTATAAAACCTTTAAACTATTCGACACAGGGAGGCCAGTCATATGTGTGTGTGCGTGTGTACACACACACATATTATTAGTTTTATATAAGATATATACATACACATGGGAAGTGTGTATGTATCTTTCATAATATCTTACCCTTTATCCCAGCCTGTAAATTAAGTCCCTCTCCATATTTACTAGCTTGCAGTTATTTTATTTCTCAGTTTTTGCCAGTTTGGTGTGTATTTAAGCTGACAAAATACAATACTTTGGTTTAATGACTGGCCTCCCTGTCTCTTTCTTTCTCTCCAGGGCCTTTTTTGAGGGTGGGTGTGAGTGGCAACAAGGAAAGAAATATTTCCGCTGAAGGCGGGAAGCCTGTAAATAAATAAATAAATAAATCGTGAAGCAGTAAAGGTGGGCCTGAGTGTGCTTGCTTGCTTGCTTGCTTCAACCTCTTCCCGCCTGGTCCCTTCTTCTGTGAGGCGCCCTTATTTATTTATTTATTTATTTGGTTTATATCCTGCCCATCTGGTACATTTATACCACTCTGACGCTGCAGGCAAAGATGCCCAGGAAGGGGCTGGGAGGGCTTTGTGTTTTTTGTTTTTATTCCTTCTATGCCAGCCGCTCTGGGAGCTTTTAAAGAATCATGGTCAGGCAGAGGAGGCGGCAGCCATACTTCCAACAAATAACATCGATATTCTATTTTCTTGCACTTCTAGTGCTCCTTCCCTCAGGGTGAGATTCGAACTCGGGACCTCTTAACTTTCCCTCCCGCCGTCTCCCCTCTTCCGGGGGGGAGTGGAGCCGCTACTTCCGCCCCTCGCGCGCCTTGCTAGCCTTCCCGACTCCATGGCTGCCTCCCGTCGCTATGGTAGCGGTGAGGAGGATTCCTCCAATGAGGTGCCGTTTCGTTTTTCTCTCCTCATTTCCCACCTCCCCGCTCTCCGGACAGTCCCGTCCCCTTCGTTGCCACAGCAGCGGATGCCGCTTGCTGAGAGCGGAGGGGGGCGGGAGCTCGGGGGAAAGGGCGGGGCGTACATCAAGCCCCGCCCCTACATGTAGCTTGCTGGGCCAGTGGAAGCGGAGACGTCGGCGGAGGAGGACGCGCGGCCTGTTGCCGCGGAGGGGGAAGCAGGGGTGAGTTGTGGGGTGGGGTGAGGGTTGCTCCCCTAAAAGGGGTGTTATGGGGGGTGGATCTTGGAGAGAGGGCTCTTAAACTGGACCAGTTCAGGCGAAGAGAAGGTTTTAAATTTGCTTTCTGGACTACAACTCCCAGAATGCCCTGCTGTGGAGGGGATTGTGGGGGTTGTAGTCCCAGTGTTCCTTTCGGCCACAAATGGCAAGCTTCATGGAGGGCCATGGTGGGCTGTCCTATCAGGCAGGGCTGGACTGCAACCCCCATTAACCCCAGTCTTCCTGCTGGCCACCCTGGAGGGGGCACATGGGTGTTGTAGTTCAGCTGTCTTTGGTGTGTGGGGCCGTAGTAATCCCCGTGGTAATGAGGTTGGTGTAAAGGCTAATCAATTTTTTTTATATGTGAGTGGTGGGTTGTTTTTTTGAGGAAGTTTGAAATCTGTGGGTTTATTTTAACGTCGGAGTTGTTCTCATGAGGAGAGACTTCAAAATCTGTTTTGCTGTGGTTGTGAATTAAGGCGGTAATTAAGGGAGAGGGCTGATTAGAACTGGGTGCTCTTTTGGGGGGAGCATCTCCTATGTTAGATAGGTAGTGTTGTGTAGTGGTTAAGGCTACAACTGCCTTGTTGACCAGTCCAGAATTTTGCTTCTCTTCCACACAAAACTTTGGCCTGTCCCACCTTGTCAGGTTGTTGTGAGATAAGAGGGGATAGTGGGGCGTAACCGTGCTGCTTGGAGGTGCAAATCTATCAGTGTAATTAATAAAGCGGCAAATAACGTTGAGGAAATATGGAGGGGTGATGCAATTATGGATATTTCTATTTTATGGGGGAATCCTTCTGTTTTGGGGTGGTGGAGGCAGAAAGAGTGTGTGATTCTATGGAAGGTTTTAGGGAGGTTTAAGCTTTCCTTGGAAAAGGGGAAAAGCTGAGCAGAGTTTATGGGGCTGGGGTTATGGGGTGGCATTGAAGAAACTGTCTGGTTAGTTGTGCTAAATCTGGGTGAGGAAGCTGGGAAGTTTGTTGCAGGAAAAAGTTAAATTTTACCTCTTTTTTTGGGGGGGAGTAAATGTTATTTTATTTTTGAATTGGGGAACAGAAGATCATTAAGGATGGCGAAGGAAGAGGTTTACGGACAACATAGGAACCACTGCTTTGAACAGGGAGATTTGGGAATAGAAGAAAGCAGACAGCCAGATAATTTTTTTAAAAAGAGAAAAGAGGTACCCCGTCTTGTGTATTCAATCCAAGTGGAAATACAAGCGGTTACTTTATGGAACCATTAAAATGTCATTAAGTAGAGGCCATCTTTTAGATCCGACAGGACTCTTCGCCAGGCTGGTCACGGCAGAGCTTTTTTTGGAGGGGCTGCAAGCAGTAGTGGAAAAAAAAAATCCTGGCTAAGAAAAAAAAGATGCCTAGGAAGGGGTCAGGAGGGTGAGGAGCGAGGAAACCCAGGCCGGGATTTGGGGCCAAGAGGAAAAGGCACCCTGAGAGATGCGAGGAGCTATGGAAGCTACCCCTGGGAGCATCGTCAGGCTCGGATTCAGGAGAGGGGGCTTCGAGAGAACCCCAGTTAAGGGAGAAGCCCATTCAATCAGGGCTTAAATCAGGAATTTTTGAGTGGGGGGGCAGGAAAAGGAACCACCAGGAAGGCAGAAATATCGATGGGAGGTTTAGCTCCTCTCTCCTTTTCCCGGGGATCCCTGGCCGGTTTATGTGCTGCACCGGGAAGGTTTCAGATGATTCATGTTGTGACATTGGAAGGAAGTGTTTATCCAGTGTGTGTGTATTTCTTGGCAGGCGCGAACCCTCCGGAGCAGGGCCTGAGATGCCAGCTTTCATTGCCTTCCCCTCTTCCACGCGGCACTTCCACCTCCAGAGAGCTGAGCATTCGGCCTCCGGGTGCCAGAAAGAAAAGTTTGACAACGTGCAAGGAGGGGGTCCGAAGTTGTACGTCTGCTTTGTGTCCCGGCTGCTGCAGCAGCCTGGGTTTGCATCAGGGTGATCTGAATGGCCCCTGGGGGGCCTGGCTTGTTGTTGTGTTGCCGAATACACATACACACACAGTCAAAACGAGTGGGTTAAGGAATGACGTGTGAAATCCTGATTTGGCATTGCCTGGAACAGCTGGATAGTGCTTGTTATTTACCCGGTGCTGGTTGGTTCAGCTTCCTGCTGCCTTTGTGTGGTTTGTCATATGTGGTATGACACTTATTTTATTGCATCTGAGAGACCTGGCTTGTGATCCATGGACTTTCACAGTGAATTATTTATTTAAGGTTCCTTTCTTTCCTTTTCCCCCTTTCTTTCTTTCTTTCTTTCCTTCTTTCCTTCCTTCTTTCCTTCCTTCTTTCCTTCTTTCTTTCTTCCTTTCTCCTTGCTAAAGAAACAGACTCATCTGGAAACCACTGTGAAAACTTTCTAGTTCGCTCTTCCGTTCAAACTATGTTTTTAGTTGCTAGAATGAGTCCCCGGCTCCAAATGAAAATATTTTTGCTGCCATTTCCGTTTCAGGAGCCCGTGAAGAAATGAGCTTCTTTCAAAAAGAAAGAAAGCCCATCAAGGTGCCCTGGGAGTTTTGAGGAGGGGTGTGGCTGTGTGACTCATCAGGTTATAGTGAGTTGTAAGGGGGAAAAACAACCCACCCCCTTTTGTCTCGTGTTTCTCTTGCTCTGATATCACTCAAGGCAAACATTGATTAGAGAAATTCTTTTTGTCCTGGGTAAGCACTGCTTTGTAGGCAAATTCCTCCACCTTTCCCCCCAATCTGGTACCCTCAAAGGCCGATCATCCTCAGCTAGCAGGCTGGTGAGTGGGTTTTGCTGGCTGGGGGCGATGGGGGTTGTGATCCAGCACTGAGAAGAGAGCACCATGTTTTTTTGGGAAGCGAAGACCTGGCCTGTTGGGATTTTCAACCGGCCCTGTTTCCTGCAAAGGAAGGAAGTTTTGGTCGAGTCTGGCTTTCCATTATTGCAAAAGCGAAACAGCCGTAATCCCGCCCCCCAAAAAATACTGTATGGACCTTTAAGAGGAAAACATGTATTTAAGTGGGATGATGGTCACGTTTTTAGTCCGACTTCATTCTGAAGGATTTGAGTTTGAGGGGGGTGCTCTGAATAAATGTGTTAGCCTTAAAGATGCCACAGTTCTTAAAGGTACTTCCCTCCTCTCTTGATCTGTCTCTTTTTTAAAAACTGTTTTTGCCGAAACAGCCTAGCCCACCTTCCTTCTGGTCCACTTGCTCTTACTGTCTTGAGGATCTTTCTTGCTGCGTATTTAGTTGCCACTGCCCTCTAATAGCGGTTGAAATACTGTTTGAGAAAAGACGATGGGCTGCCGTTCAGAAGCCCAGCCGCTCTTTCGGCACCGGTTTTGATTTCACACAAGCTTTGGGGCCCGGAAGGAAGCCTCTTGTTCAGAGTGAGAGAGGGAGGTTTCAGAAAGTAAGAGTTGAATAAAAGTGGTTCACGATTTCTCCAGGAACTGGTGAAACCTTGCCTTGGGTGAGTCATCCTGCTCTAAATTGTGCTTGCAGAGAGTTAATATTTTCTGGTTCGGCATTGAGTGGCCGGGGGTGTAACTGACATTGCACGGCTCTGTATCTTTTGCACTAAGCAGAGTGGATAAAAATCAGTGATTTAAAAAAGAAAAATTAAATTGATTTCCATCAGGATTTCAGTAAAAAATGCAGGAGCAGGTGATACCTTTATGGGACCACTCAAAAAATATTAATTAAATCAAACAAAAGAAAGAAACAGCGAGCTTTGGATGATAATTCATCGTCCTCAGGCTGAGCACCGAGTTCTTGGGGACGGTTCCAAAGTGATGTGCTTTTATTAAAGTCCCAAAGTCTTAATTTTAAAAAGTGATTCTTTTAAAAAAGAAGGGTTTAAAAGGATTCAAACCACCCATCCGCTGTTTCCCATTCTTAAACATATCTGTAGACGTCTGCTTAGCTCGCTGCCCAGAAAATCCAGGTTTATTTTTTCAATTAAATCAAAAATCCACCTTGGGACACAGGAAATAAAAATGGTGGGATCTCTCTCCTTAAATCTCTGTGCTGGCTTTTTACCTGGTTTCGGGGCCAGCAAAAACTGGCTGTTGCATAGCATTACTTCCTGTGTCTTTCCACCTCTTTTCCTTTTTAACTTTTTTTCCGGGAAGACGTTTTGTCTGGCTTGTGTGTCACGAATGCAGTCAAAAAATTCCCGTTTGGTTTATCCTGCCCCCTATTCCTCATGTCAAATTTTAGATGCTAAGCCTTCTCTGTGCAAGGGGTGGGTCGGTTCGCCTTGTGCTGAGCGCTTTTAGTAATAATATCCCACCCAAAGGTGCCAATCTGGTCTTTGTTTCAGCTTGTATTCGGTCCCGTCCCCCCTCTTATTCTGGACCCCCTTCCCCCCCATCAGCCACAGTGAGCGGGACTCTTGGCTCAGAGAGGATGGGAATTGTAGTTGAAAAGACAGGAAGGCTGTAGGGCTGCATTTCCTTGCTCGGAAAGTTTAGGGATGCGAGAGCCAAAGATTTAAAAGAGTGTTGCTGGAAGAGCTTTTGTCTTTTTTAAAAAAATCACGCTTTTATCGTTTTAGCGCGGCTGGGGACACACGAAGCTGCGCGGCTGGTGATACTTGCACAGTCGAAGCAACAGCACGGTGCCTTTCTGTCTTTCTTTATCTCCCTGGAGCCGAACATGTTTACGACGTATCCGTGTTGCGGAGCACATGGTGTAATTTTGCTGTGAGCTTTGCCCTCCGAGAGCGATCAAGTCGAGTTCCTCCTTGGGTTTCGGTGTCGCATAAATAAGGAAGGAGAAAAGGCCGGGCTCTTTCGTTTCAACTTTGCTCTTTAGCCGGGAGGCAGCCTGGCTCATGCGGCGTTTGTTTCCTCGGGGCCCCGTCGGCGAAGAAAGACCACGGGGGAATTGCCGAGCTCCTCACTCAGGTGAGAGATTCCCCCAAGGAGGAAGCAGTTGAGCTGCTTGTTGGTTTGGTGGGATGAACC